TGAGTTTAAAAATCCTGTCTGTACAAGCCGGTTGCTACTCTCCCTAGAGGTAGCCCGCAGGCTGACTCCCAACAAACCTGCACTTCTGGAGACCCTGCACCGCCTCGTTCCGCCTCGTTCTTACAGGTTTGAGTGATGGTAACTTTGATGTGGTTGTGGGGGGCGGATACTGCGTTTACCTACCTGCCATCTTGACCGGAAGTCTCAGCCAGTGCTTTTAACCACCATGGTATATGGCCTCTGATTAGAGTCTACACAGTAATGGCATTCATTATCCCATTTAACACAGAAGCCAGACATAAGTGATGCCAGGGTCTGTCACAGGAGCAGAGGTCTCAGGATTCTTGGTTATTTCCCTGAGAATGCTATTATCCTCATGATCACAACATGGCTGCTATGGCCTTCTTCTCACATGATAACTCCAAGGTAGGGAGGAAGGGGGAACCTCTCCCACATTTCTGAATCTCCCCCACAGACTTCTCTGAGCATCTCATTGGTACTGGGTCACATAACCACCACTAGCCCAATCACTGGCAAAAGATGCCTGATACCTACACTTGGATCGGCCCCAGGTTTTGATTTGGAGGTTGGCCCTATTTTCTTTTTTTAAATTTTTTTATCCTCACCTGAGGACATTTTTTTCCATTTTTTTGTTCAGATAGAGTGGGAGAGAGAGAAACATCGACGTGAAAGGGACACATCGAGTGGTTGCCACCCGCACCACCCAACCAGGGCTGGGGACAAACTGCAGCCCAGGTACGTGCCCTTAGCAGGAACCGAACCTGGGTCTCTCTGGACCGCAGGCCAACGCTCTAACTGCTGAGCCAAACCGGCCAGGGCGGCCCTATTTCGCTGAGCACCTGGCTGCCTATGTCTGAAGGGTTATTTTAGCAAGGAGGTTAGGGGTTAGGCTCTTGGCCACAGCATTTTTTCCCATAGTGGTCAGCCCTCTGAATACCTGAAATAAAGGCACACGGAGACCCTGTTCATTGCAAGGGTCCACTTTGTAATGTGGGTACACCAGGCCACTCTGAGGTCCTAGGAGAGGTTCCCAGGGTGAGAGGATAGCACGCTGCCAACTCTCCGCATCCATCACCCTCCTTCCCCACGGACACACCTTCTGGATCACGTCTCAAGTGGCCGATTCCCAAGCCATTAAAGGTGCATTAAATGTTTACCCGTCCACCGTGAAATGTGAAAAATAAGAATGATGGAATGAGGTTCTTATAAAGATAAATTGATTCTATTGAAAGGAAAAGCTGTTGTTGATTTTCCTACTTAAACTCTCTAATGGCTTCCCTGGGCACTCAGAAGAAAGAGCAGGTGGCTGGCCGCAGCTACCGAGGTGTGCTCCGGGCACATGTCATGCCTCACCCGGCCCCGGCCTCCCAGCCTCCCTGTTTCTCAAACACACCAAGCCCTTTGCCTCTTCGGGGCCTCTGGGGAGGCAGAAAGGCCTGCCCTCGAACCCCACATCTGCTAATTAGCCATGTGACCTTGGGCAAGCCACTTCACCTCTCTGACCCTCAGTGTCTTCCCCTGTAAAAATAGAGACAATAATATCTGCCTTGGAGGGTAGCTGGAGGTATGACTTAGGGCCCTGTCCCAGTAGGCACATGGCAGGTGCTCCGTGCTCCCTTCCCATCCGGACGCAGCCGACTCTCAACCCGAATCACACTCAGAGGCAGTTTCACAAACAAGGATGGTTTAATATATTTCAGCACGTTTCCACTCAACATCGTATGAAAATAGAGCTCTTTATTTAAACAGCAAGGCGTAACAACCACTGCTATTCACAAAACACTTTATGTTTTTAAAAAAATCAAAAGCAATGGCTTCTGGAGAGACCCTTCGACTCTCCTCTGGAGAATGGGCAGGCAGGATGTCACCAGCTCCTATGCTCAGGGCCCACTGGTGGTAGAAGACCCTGGTGGCACTCGGACCAGGTGCAATGCACGGGCGACCCACACGGTGAGCAGCTTACTCCTTTTCCTGCCCTCTGCACCCAGTGATTGCCGAGAAAGAATCAGGGTGCTGCTGGCCTGGCTTTAATACCACTCGACTACTCGCTTGTCTCATTTCAGAGAAATGACAGATCTCAGGCTCGGAGCCTTGGCAACACCAGCATGGAGACCCCCTCCCAGTGAATTTATTTTATACAGTCACTTTCTATTTTTGACAATGAGTGATACATGTTGTCCATTACCAGCAGTGATAAAAAAAAAAAAAGTTCCCTTTTCAAACAATTATGTCTTTTTTTTTTTTGCACTTATCTTCAGATAGAGCGGGAGGGAGGGCGGGATGAAGACAGAGAGAGAGAAACATCGACGTGAGAGAGACACATCAAGTGGTTGAAACCCACATGACCTCAACTTGGGGCTGAGGACAAACTGCAACCGAGGTACGTGCCCTTAGCAGGAACTGAACCCGGGCCTCTCTGGTCCGCGGGCCGACGCTCTAACCGCTGAGCCAAACCATATAAATCCAACTATAGTTGCATAATAGTATAAAAACAACTATAAGTTTTTAAAAAATGAATCTGTTTAAAAGATCCGGTAAACAACAATATAAAATATAGCAAAAATAACAATGATGATGATGTTAAGAAAACACTTCAGTAGGTCAACCTAAGAGTGTTTCTAACATATGTCCTGCAATTTTGTGATTCTAAAGCAAGGTATGAAGAAATACAATGATGTCCGGGTACTTTCCTAACTAATCTGTAGCAAGGAGCTAACCCACTCCTCTCTCCCTCTTCTTTATATTTTTTAAAAGAAGAAGAGAAGGAAAAAAAATGATTAAAACAAGGGAAGGCTTAAATCAGTGTCTCCTAAGCTACACTTCAGTATCTCTGGTACCAGCTGGAGCTGCCTGATGGGAGAATTGTTTCTTCCTAATGACTGTGGCTTCAAGGAGGTGCACCACCTTTAAAGGGAATTGGCCTTTTTTTGAACACAGGTGAGAATCTGGCCTCAGTGACAAGGCCCCCTGATTTGGAAGGGGGGAGTCATAAGGGCCTTCCCCCAGCACACCAGGGTAGCAGCCTCGCAGAGACCTTCCCGCTGCTATTTCTGCTGGCCTTCTTCCTTCCCTTCCGAGCCAGGATGAGGCAGCTGAGGGTTGCCATGGAAACCGGCTCCATCCTCCCATAGGAGGCTGCTAGGCCTGATTTCTTGCAGAGTTAAGAAGCAGGCAGCAGCAGGGGTCACCCAGGCGTGAAGATGGGTTTCCCTGGGGATATCCCACCTCCTGCCAATCACACTATCTGTCTGGGAATCCTGGGGGCGCCTGGAGGCTGAAGGCCAGGAAAGCCCCCAAGCCCCCATGCTGCTCCAAGAAGAGCCTAGCCCCTGAAACACTCAGAGATTTCAGGTCCTCTATTCTCCTTCAGCTAAAGCTAAAGGGACCTATGTGTGTGTATATGTGTGTGCGCGCGCGCACGCGTGCGTGTGTCTGCATCTCATGAGCTACATCCACCCATGGGTGCCTCTGGCTCTGATGCCAAACAGAGCTGTCCCTACCCCCTTGAGCCCAAGGGATGCATTTGCTACTGGGACAATAAGTCTGCTGAATTCTACCAGTTTATGAGCTGAGTGACCCCGGCAATCACTTCGCCTCTCTGAGCCTATTTCCTCATCTATCACAAGGCTTACCCACCCCCTCTTTGCAGAGGTAATGTGAGAAATAGAAATACTATATCTGTCACAGGCATTGACAGAATCCTCAATAAACAGAACATAATATTAATAATCCTTACCATCATAACAAAGGTTTCTAGGCAGTTTTTCTCTTTGAACTGTTTTGGTGTTTGTTTTTTCCCCCTAAACTGATGCAAAGGCAAGTTTTCATCACTGATCTGTTTGTGCAAAGGGTGGTGCACACAGAAGGATGGACCATTGGTCTGAGAACCACCAGCAGGTTCCCATCACGTCCTCAAAGATCACTTCTAAGAGTTAGAACAGGGTTCTCGAGCTCGAATGCCTTCATGGGCCAGGAGTTGCCATGAAGGGAGACGCAGAAAGAAAAAATTCCACCAAGCAGAAACCCGGGTGAGCCGGAGCACACATGTCCCCAGATAAGGGATGTGGCTGCTTCCCCTCCCTGGCCAATGGCTGTCCTTGGGAATTTGGGCCCAGTGTGCTCAGACCTTCCAAGTTTTTTTAAAAATATGTTTCTATTGATTTTTCAGGGAGAGAGAGGAAAAAAAAAAACATCGATGTGAGAGAGAAACATCAATTGGCTGCCTCCCGCATGGACCTCCCCAGGGATCAAGCCCACAACCCAGGCATGTGCCCTGACCGGGAATCGAACCAGGACCTCAGTCCATGGGATGATGCTCAATCCACTGAGCCACACCGGCCGGGCAGATCTTCCAAGTTTTTAAAAGAAGCTGGACATTTTGAATCAACTCTCCCAAAGATAATATGAAAACAACGGATGTACTTTTTAAAAATGTAGGCCAAACAAAACAGGTCTGTCTGCACACTGGCTCATGGCCACAGCTGGAGCTTCTGAGCAAGCATGCAGAAAGCCAAAACCTCGTCTTTCCCAGCTTGCCCAGTCTGAGGAGCCCGGCTGCTTCCTTCCAGCAGGACCACCCATAACGTCCGTGTCTTTCCTGTTCCCGACTTGAGTCTCAGCACTGGCAAAGCTCATTTCAGCTGGAGCCCACGACTGCAGAACAGCGAGTCCACGGCTCAGAGCCCGGGGTCTGGAGGCTGCTCACCGTCTGAGCCTTGGACGTACCAGCTTCGGGAAAACCCTCCCGCGCTTTCTCAAGAATCCGTGTGAATGGAGAGATGAGGGAACCAGAAACGGGTCTTCTAGGACTCCTTTGGCTTCAGCTAGTTTAAGAATAATTTGGGGACCAGCTTATTTCAAGGGACACACTGCTAGGTCCCAGCTGGCCATTTTACAGCCAGCATCTGCTTTGAGTGGTGAAGGCCTCAAGCACACCCTTGTTAAGGACTTGGACGCTGGCCCCTCTGGGAGTTGGGGGCACAGCAATCAGGACTCCTGTCCTGCCCCGTCTGCCCTAATTTCTGTGGGTGTCATAAGGTAAAAGGAACAAGGTGAGCTGGGAGCAGAAAGTCTCATTTTGGACTAAACCTTCCCTCAGCTTCCTTTCTTCCCCGGCCCCGGACCAGCCTTCCAGGAGAAAAGCAGGAAAGTGCTAACACTGGCACAGTCGGTGGTCAAAGCTCTGCACCCAAGCCAGACGTGGACACAGAAAGTCGGGCGATCGGGGCGCGGGCTGGGGGGTGAGCACGTGGAGCCCGGTCTGCTCACAGCCGGAGGCGGTAGCGGATGGGCACGTCGTGTTCCGGCTGCATCAGCCCGAAGCCGTACCTGCTGAGGTCGAACTCGGGGATCTCCACATCCGGGCTGACCAGCTCCAGGTCCAAGTGCGTCAGCACAAGGAACACGAATCTGCAGAGAGATGCGGCGAAGGCGTGAAGGAGAGGGCTCGTGGGGGCTCGCCCGGAAACCGGCAGGAGGGCAATGGCTTCCTCTGGAGTCTGACCCCAACTCTCACTTCGGGACAAGTGAGAAAAGGAGGGCGGGAAGCAGAGCACAGGGGCCCAGGAGCTCCTACACGTGTGCCGCCCTGTGGGCGGGCAGGCCCGTGGACTAGCTCTGGCTGCCAGGCTCTGAGCACAGGTGACCTGTGTCTATTTCACACCAAAGCAGTCTAGAGCTTTCCCTTCGGCCTGGCACTGTGAGGGCCCCCTGTTGAGATGGAAGGAGGCCGAGTCTCTGCCTGGAGGGGAGGAGACCCCCGAACCCACCACCGACTCTGTGAGTGGGAACGAAGCCCCTGTTGTCCCAGCCGCTGAGACTGGGCGCTGGTTTGGTGCAGCAGCATCGCCTCGCTTCCCCTGATCGGTAGGACCGTGACCCTTCCAGACTCCCCCAACGATACTCACCCCCTCCCCCAGACTCCTGCAACCCTCACTGTCTGCCCTGGTCAGGGCTGCGGCTAAACCGCAGGCTGCCTTTGCAAGATTAGAAACAGGTACCCCCCCACCTCGAGACACTTGACTGTGTCTGTGGGGAAACTGTCGAATGTAGCGACTTTGCAGGAACAAGCACTCTTTACTGCCATCTTCCGGAAAACTGGCCTAGTGCGTATACAAGCCCTGTGGCCGCTCCCCGATGTTAACCGCTTCCTGCCCGCCTGCCTTCTCTTACTTGGCACCACCTAGGCAGTAAGGGTCAGAACTGGGTCTTCACCTACTCTGTCCCACCACCACCTGCTCACTGAGACCCAGGTGCCCAGTGTGGGACAGAGCCCACGGCAGGATTCTTTAATCTTACTGAATGAATGAAGAGGGAAGACGGGTATAGAGCGAAGTCAATGCTCTGGGCTAGAGAGCTGGGCACAGAACTGGGCTCTGCCTCCTGAGGGCGTCTGACCCTCATTCAGTTCCTTCCCCATGCTAGGCCTCGGTTTCCCTGTCTGGTCAAAGAAAGGAAAAAGGTGGGACGTATCCCTTCCAGCTCTGAAGTTGTAGGATGCTAGAGAGTGAGTTTGGATAGGGTGGGGGGCCCTGTAGCCACACCTGGATTTGGATCCTGATGCCTCCACTCACCAGGTGCATAACCTGGCAAGTGATTTGACCTCATTGTTAGGCTGACACCTACCTAGCAGGGTTGTCATGACGATTAAGTGAGATAAAAATAACAAATTAGCTAATTCATGTGGACACTACTATGCTAAACATTTAGTGTCCTAATATTCTCTCTATCTGTCCAGAAGCTTTAGGAGATAAGAGCTACAGTAGGTTCTGCTATATCAGTTGTTTTGGACACCTGAGTTTGCTCCTGTGTGATATTGATATATTATGGCACGAGTGAAGCTTAATGCAAATTTCACGTTAGCTTAGGTGCAATTCTATCTTCGAGAAACACAAGGAGAATGCAAAAGCCCACCCCCAGCTGAGCTGAGCTGAGCGGGAATTCCCAAAACACACACACACCTAAATCTATCCTCCACTGACCCCAGCTCACGGTGTGTGCATGTGCATGTGCATGTGTGCACGTGTGTGTGTGTGTTACATGCCACACCATTCATGCTGGGTGTCCACCTTCAGATAAGCCTCCTTCCACGCTTCACAGTAGCTCACCGCTGCAATCCCATCCACTGTCCACTCCCACAGCAAACCTCAGGTCGGTTTAAGAGTCAAGTGTAGCACTGGGCACTTCTTAGCCACTTAACACGTGTGAACCTGTAATACCATTTTTTCCTAGGTTCTTATCTTTTTCTCAAGGTGTCACTGATGAGGTGTTTGACTGTTGGGTGCTGGCCCCATTGTTCCCACAATCCCTGAAGTTTTTGATGTGATTTCTCAGGGCACAGTGAATTTTGGGAACACTCGTGAAGCTTTAGAGCAGAGCTTCTGCATTATAATCTCCATTTTCCTGCTGGAAAACACTGAGGCCGAGAGGTTAACGCAATGTGCCCGTTCACTTAGCGCAATGCCTGCACGTGAACAGTACTGATATCAGTAATCACAATAACTAACATTTAATGAGTGCCCACAATGAGCCAGGCAGTGGGTTGAGCATTTAGAAAGATCTCATTCCTTTGTCCCAACACCCCTGGGATGTAGTATAACCAGTACTTTCATTTTACAGTTGAGGAGATGGGTACAGAAGGTCAGCTTACGATGACACAGGGGCTGGACAGAAGGACTGGGTGGATATTCTAACCCCTGGTCCAATCTGTTTGTGATCCGGGGTTCATGGCTCTTGGGGTCGAGGGAAGAGAATGAACGAGGCATTAAAATAACCAAAGTGATGACGCTTGGCCAGTTACTGCTGAGAAGTTCTGGACAGCACAGCAGCTGCAGACAGACAGACAGGGTTGGCTGCACAGAATGTCCAGTGTTTGGTATTCTGGGTGTTTGATATTTGGACACTAGGCTTAGAGAAAGGAACCCATTGCCAGATCTGATTATGTCAAAAGAAATCAGAAAGCTAGCTTTTTACATAAGCTCTTCCAATTCTTAAAAGTTAGCACACACTTTTAAAAACACAAATAAATAGATTGTGGACAGAACATGGCTCATGGACTGTCCATTTGAAGCCTCTACCCTAAACCCTTCTCCTGGCTCAGCCTCTCTGTCTCGGAGAGGAAGGTGTGTGCCAACCAGACAGAGCAGGAGCCTCCCCTCCCCCAGGCCCTCTTCCCCCAAACTCACTGTTTGATGCTGCTGATGGCATAACCCCTCCCCAGGCACTGATTGTGCCCTGCTCCCCAGGGCATGTTGTAATTCTTCAGTCGCTTCCCATCCTTGTAAAAGTCTTTCTTCTCTGATCCATCAGCGTTCAGGAATCGGTTGTATTTAAATACCTGAGATAGGAAAAAGGTCCATTTCTGACTCCACCCCCACAACATACATGCATGAAGAAAAGCGATGAGGATGTTCATCGCAGTCTTGTTTATAAGAGGGAAAAACTGGAAACACCATAATGGGCAATTAATAGAGAACCGGTCAAAAACTTATGGCAGCTATTTAGAAGGTGGAGCTTGGTGACATGGAAAGAATTTTTAACACTGGTTGTTAGTAAAGAAGCAAGTTTTGGAATAGCATGCACTGTATGATCCTATACACACACCTATCCATTCACGAGTGTGAGCATGTGTATGTCTATAAAGGCATAAAAATAATTTAAAGGACACACTCCCAACCATTGTTAGGGAACTCTGTAGAACTGGTGAGGAAGGGAAATGAAGAAAAAATGTTACCTTTAAACATATATGTCTAAATATTTCTATTTATAACTATGTTACTTTTGTAATTTAAAATAAAAGCAATTATTTTTTTTAAAAGACAATGCCAATTTCCTTTGGTTACATTGTACAGTGATAAGGTGAGAATTGTATCTGAGAATAGGGTGGTAGAGTAGGTGCTAAATGAAAGATGGGTGAATGGACCAGTGGATAAACTGATGAATGGAAGGATGGGTGGGTGGGTAGATGGATGTGTGGATGGATAGACAGATGGGTACATGGGTGGATGGATGGATGGATGGGCAGATGGATGGATGGATGGGCAGATGGATGGATGGATGGGCAGACGGATGGATGGATGGGCAGACGGATGGATGGATGAATGGATAAATTGATGGATGGATGAATGAGCATACATAACAGTGCCTAGTATACAGTAAGTACCCAGATCTATTAAAAATTGTGCAAGTTTCCCCATCTCAAAGTGCAGGAAAAGGGACAAGTGTTGAGAAGCTGATATTATAACATTTTGAAAAAACGAAAATCACTCAGCTGTCATTTGTAAAGCATTCATGGTGTGCCAGCCACTACAAAGGCCTTTCTCACATGAGCTCATTTGATCTCCCTGACAACCCTAGAGGCAGGTGCTATCATGAGGTTTATTTCGCAGGTGAGGAAACAGAGACACAGAAAGGTAAAGTCATCTGGACAAGGTCACACAGCCGAAAGCAGAGCTAGGATGCCACTCGGATCTGAGTGATCTAGAAGCCACTGATTTTTCTCCCACGGTCCCTAGTATGCCATTTACCTCTGGGTCTGTGTAGATTTCTGGGTCCCTCTGGGGACTCAGGAATGGAAAGAGGAGGAGGCGGTCACCACGCCGCAGGGTGAATTCCCGCCCATCTGCCATGGGCATGGCCAAGTCCACTACGACCTCTCGGGTGATGAAGGGCGCGGCCGTGAGCCTGAGGCTCTCACTCAGCACACTGTCTGCACGGGGAAGGTACAAGGGTCAGTAGCTGCCCCCATACCCACTCATATGCCACCCCCAGCCCTCATTTTACAGAGGAAGATGAGCTCAGAAAGGGAGCATGACCTGCCCACCATTACACAGTGAGGCCAAAAAGGCCAGTCCATGAGGTGTGATTGCTACGGTCCCTCAGAGACTTTAGACATGAGGGTGTGGGTCTGATCCCAAAAGAAGCTGTGAGGGAAGGTGGGAGCCAGAGAGATATCGGAGGCTAGGGACCGAGCAGGACCATCAATATTGATTATTTCTGCCTGCCCCGCATACGTTTCCCTTCTGGAAACAGCCCCCTGATTTTCCTCTGGGGCCACCCCTCTCCCACTCTCAGGGGTTGGACTGTTGATTCCACCCCCAACTCCTGGGCTTGGGCTGTGATTCACTAATCAGAGCATCCCAACCCTCTGAACCCCGTGATTGGTTTAAGATGGGCATACAACTGGAAGACACCCAATGAGACACATTCCTCGGACTTTGGGTAGGAATGCTGCAGAAAGGCACCCCCTCGCGGGGCTGAGAACACAGTAGCCTGGAGCTTCTGGTGCCATCTTGCCAGCCTGAGTCTGGAGCTGACCCAGCAGAAAACAAGGCTGAGAGATGGAGAGAGACTGAGTCCTGATGACAGTGTTACAGCTCCTGGATCCTCCTGTACCTTAAGCTAAATACTTCTAGACTTTTTAGTTCCTTGCCCCAAATAAAGTCCTTTTTTTTGCTTCAACCAGTTTAAATTAGGTTTCCTGCCATTTGCAACCTAAAACCTCCACTGAGACTATGAGCAGTTGAGGCCAAGGCATGGAGAGGCCTAGTCTAAGAAGCGAGGAGGCTCAGGGCACCTTAGGGGCCTTAGCTCAGAGGACACTGATGGACCCTGGACGATGGGAGCCCATGTTGGGGAGGGTTTAAAGGGCCACGATGACCCAGTCTTTGGGCTGTCTGAGGTCTGACCATCTCACCAAGCACAGGCACGCTGTCTAAAACCTTCTGTGGGAGGGTGGTCATCTGCGAGCCAGGCTGCTCTGCTCGGGAGAGGACCTGCTCAACTTCTCCACGGACAGCAGCCAGGGCCTCGGGGTTCTTGAGGAGGAAGAGCAGGAGCCAGAAGGCAGCTGGACCCATGTTTCCCTGCAACGAGAAAGCCCCTGCTGTACATCGAGAGGGCAACCCGGCGTATAAGCTGACTGGTTTATGCCATGGACACAGCCCTGGCCAAGGCGCAGGGGTCAGGAGGCCTGAATTCCTACCCCTGCCAAACACCTGGGCATGACCTGTGTCTATCTGCAGCCTCAGGACATGGCCAGGAACAGCTCTATGGTTTTGGCATAGCCCAATGGCCACTTCAAAGCCATTCCTGGCACCCCTGACCTTGAGCAAAACCATTGATATGAGGTCACATAGGTAATTTCCATAGCTAATGAGCAATAATAGCAACAAAGTGTGTCAGTTAAGATTACTGTTAACATCTGCGGAAGACTGCACCCTTGGCCCCTATTCTGTTCCCTTCCCTGCACCTATGCCCCTTGCTGTGTGACTTGGTACTTTCTCCCACTAAAGAGGCAGAGTGTATTTCCCCGCCCCTTGAATTTGGGCTCAGTCATGTGACTTGCTCTCGCCAATAGAATGAGGCAGAATTGATAACAGTAATTCTAGGTCTAGGCCTTCAGAGACCCTGTGTGTTTCCACTGGCTGCCTAGCCCACTGGTCCCAAGAGGAGGATGGGGGACCACTGAACGGAGCTGAGCTGTTCAGCTGAGCCCAGTCTAAACCAGCTGACTCCTGGTGGGCCCATAGACAGGTGAGTTAAATAGAGGTGCATCAGTGTATGCCACTGAGTTTTTGTGGTTGTTTGTTACACAACAGCAAACTGATACAATATCTGAATATTTGCTTTCAAATATGTGAGTATTGTGTACACATAAAGGAAAGCAGCAATGATCAATGATGACTATAAACGCTATTAATGTCTTGGACAAAAATTATTTAAAACTTCCCAATAGCTAAATAACTAGGAAATGGCCCTGGCTAGTGTGGCTCAGTTGGTTGAGCATCATCCCAGGCACCGACAGGTCACTGGTTCAATTCCTGCTTGATCCCCAGTAGGGGGCATGCAGGAGGTAGCCTGTCAATGTTCCCCTCTCACTGATGTTTCTTTCTCTCTCTCTTTTCCTCTCTCTAAAATCAATAAAAATATATTTAAAATAATTAGGAAAATGGATGAAATTTCTTGCTCTAAGACTTTAGCCTTGACTGAACATTTTACTTTATTTATTTTTTATTCCTCAGCCAAGGATATTTTTCTATTTATCTTCAGATAGAGTGGGAGGGAGGGAGAGAGGGAGGATGGAGAGAGAGAAACATCAATGTAAGAGGGATACATCAAATGGTTGCCTCCTTCACAACCAGGGCCGAGGCAACCAAGGTACGTGCCCTTGACCAGAATCGAACCCGTGACTCGTTGCTCCACAGACCCATGCTCTAACCACTGAGCAACCAGTCAGGGCTTGGCTGAACATTTTAATACTCAGGTGTTCAGCATGTGGCTAAAATGTGTATGGGGGTACCTTTAAATGAGACATGGGTGAATGCCAACTAACCTCAGTTGGGGGGAAGATTCTTGTCTACATAAACGACTAGCCTATCCAATCATAACAATGGAATCTTAAACAGCCCCTGTTTATCTAGTCATTCTGTTACAGACATACTTGCACATGGACAAAAGTTATTTGCACAGGGATCATCACCACAGTGCTGGTGTAACAGCAAGATTAGAAGCGACCTCAGTGCCTAGCAACAGGAGATCAATGAGATCAATGGTGATCCATCCCTAGGAGGGTACAGGAAGACACTGAGAAGAAGCCAGCTCTGTGGGTATGGATAGAGAGCCGCAGCCAGGCACGCTGAAGCATGCAAACCCCGAGATGCAGAACGGGGCTCCGCGTGCCACCACGGGTGTGTTTGTTTAAAGAGGGCATGCGCGAAGAAGCCCAGACCATCTCGAAAGGGAGACTCTGATAACTGGCAACTGAGATTACCTCTGGAACAGAAGCTGGGAGGACAGGAGAGCAAGGAGGGGGAGGAGACTGGCATTTCACTGTGCATGTCTTTTTCAACTGCTTGGGTTTTTAAAAAATGATGTACTACTTTTTTTTTTTTTTTTTATCCTCACCCGAGGACATTTTTCCATTTTTTGTTTAGATAGAGTGGGAATGGGAGAGAGAGAGAGAGAGAGAGGGAAACATCGACGTGAAAGGGACACATCGAGTGGCTGCCTCCCGCACGACCCATCCAGGGCCGGGGCCAAACTGCAACCGAGGTACGTACCCTTAGCGGGAACCGAACCCGAGTCCGTCTGGATCACAGGCTAATGCTCTAACCGCTGAGCCAAACTGGCCAGGGCAATAATGTACTACTTTTAAGTGAAACAAAAGTGAATGATTTTTAGAGATCTGCAAGGACATGGAGAAATGTTCATGATACAATATTAGGTCAAACTAAAAGTGGGAATAAAAAACTGCATGATCTTGACCACAGAAGAAAGACATATAGAAAAAGCAATAAACAAATGCACAAAGCACTGATGATGGCGAAACGGATTTTCTATCTTCTTTTCCTTTAGCTACCGTGATGATTTCAGCACTACCATGTCCCCTTGTTCAATTCCCCCGTTAAGTACGCCCCATTATCGCACCTTTCGCTGAAAAGGAAAACGAAGTACTCCCTAGTCCCTGCCCACTGCCCAACATATAGCAGAGGCTCACTGGCATTTGTCAAATAAACATCTGTGTTCCTTTGGGCTGGGGCCTGCAAGTAAGCTCGGAAGGAAGATGGGCTGGCAGAGCCCTGAACTGGGACCAGGCAGAGTTGGGTTCAAATCCCAGCTCCCCACTTCCTGTCACTCCAGGTAAGTCACTCTCTCCTCTGGGTCTCAGAACTTCCCTTTTGCTGCAATAATGACATGCCCACCCCTGGGGCAGCCACAAGGGTCCGGATGAAAGCGACCACAGACCAGGTGCTCAGAAGAGGTTTCTCCCTCCCACTGGTCCCTCCCCTAGGCTTGAGAACAAGTGGGGACCTGGGACTCTCTCTGAGGTTTCCTCCAGCACCTCAGGTCCAGAGGAGACAAGGTCAGATGCTGTTCGTCACTTAAACAACCAGGGTAAGGCAGGCGATAAATAATTCAGCTTTGGGTTAACTCAGCTCGAAGGCCATTTTCTCTTGCTAAGTTAGACGGCGGCCATGGCTCGTTAATTACAAAGCAACATGGAGCACGAGGCTGCTCAGTGCTCTCTGCTTCAGGAAAAAGCTGTGGCAAGTTAGGGAGGTGACAAAGGCCACCTTCCACCCACTGCACAGATGTGTGTGAGTGTGTGCACATACATGTGTCTGTGTGATCACACGACCATAAGAGATTCTGCGTTCACTGCCCTGAAGCCGAGCTTTCTCTGGTGGGGCGCTGCCTCGTTTACCCAGAGGACATCTCCAGACTAGCCTCATTCCCCCCACAGAAGCCCAAGTCCAAGGCCCAGGGCTGGGAGGGCAGCCTGTGCCATGAAGGGCCCGCTGGGACTCTCGTCTGCCCACCCCAATCCACGTCCGCTTAGAGCTGGCCTCTTCGCCTACTTGGACCTTAGCTCTCAGGCCGCAGGCTCCTCCTCTAGCTCCTCTATGTCTCTGGGTGCGGGAGCTTCCCACTGACCCCTCCATCAGCTTTGGGGTTCTGGATTCACGGAGCTCTTGTGAGGACCCCGTGAGATCATGTCTAAAGTACTCAACAGGATGGCTGGCACACGGCATGCAGCAAGTGCTAGCCAGCTTCTGAAATCATTGGGCCTCCACTCTGACCTCACAGTAGCAATCACAGCTACCATTTCTCAACCCCTCGGAGTTCTCTCCAACCTGACCCTTGGAGGCGCTCCCTCCTGGTCCCCTCTGACTTCCCTGGCCACTCCTCCTTTGTCTCCTTTGCTGGCTCCCCCTCATCTTGCCCACCCCCAAATTGGAGAGGCCCAGGGCGCGGTCCACCTCCCCGTCTACTCTCACCCAGTGATCCCCAGTCCAGTGGTTTCAACGCCATGTCTACACTGACAGCTCCCAAACGAGCGTCTCCAGCCCAGACCCTGACCCTGACCTCGACTCTTTTCTTTAGGTACCCCCCCCATTCTCCATCTCAAACTCAGCACACTCCAAACCAAACCCCTAATTTTCTCCCCCAAAACTTCTCCTTCCACCATCTACCTTACCTCTTTTTTTTCCCCTCACCCGAGGACATTTTTGTATTTATCTTCAGATAGAGTAGGAGGGAGAGAGGGGGAAAGAGAGAGAGAAACATCGATGTGAGAGAGCCACATCGAGTGGCTGCCACCCACATGACCCCAACTGGGGTCGGGGACAAATTGCAACCGAGGTACGTGCCCTTAGCGGGAACCGAACCCAGGTCTCTCTGGTCTGCAGGCCGATGCTCTAACCACTGAGCCACACCGGCCAGGGCTCTACCTCACCTCTTAATGACAACTTCATTCTTGCCACCACTTAGACCCAAACCTGGAGCCAACCTTGTTTACACCCTCTCCCAATGTCCCAGCCAACAGCAAATCCTGTTGGCTCTACCGGGAAATATGTCCAGAATCCAATCTCTCCCCCTGCCCCCTGGTCTGGATCACCCTCTCTTGCCGGGATGCTGCAATGGCCTCCTCCCTGGTCTCCCTACCTCCACCCCCCGCCCCCCGCAGTGTTCTCGCTATGCAACCAGAATCTCTCTAAGGCGGAAGACAGGCCCTGTTCCTCCTCTGCTCAGAGCCCTCAAGTGGTTCCCATCTCAGAATAAAAGCCAAAGTCCTCCCCATGGCCTACAGGGCCCTGACTGGTCGGGTACCTGCTACCTCTCTGCCACCTCACCCTCATCCCCACCTCAGGGCCTTTACACATCTGTCTCCCCTGCCTGGATGCCCTCATCCTACATATCTACATGGCTTGCTCCCTCCCTTCCCTCAAGTTCCTGCTCAGATGTCGCCTTCTTGGTGAGGCCTTGACCACCCTGTATAGAGTAGGCCCTCCTCACTCCCCCCTGTGAACCGTTCCCCAGTTTTATTGCTTCTCCGCAGAACTTATTCCCTCTAGAATATTTTACATATTTTACTTGTTTATTCAGTCTGTCTTCTCCCACTAGAAGGTCAGCTCTATAAGGGCAGGAATCCTGGTTCTGCTCACTGCTCTGTCCCCAGCTTCTAGAAGAGCCGGGCACACGGTGGGCCCTCACTAAATATTTGTGGGATACATGTCTTGAGCTCTAGTTATCTGCCAAGCACAGTGACAGGTCTCTCAGGTAGCACCCCCTTTCCTCCTCATCATGACACCTAGAGGAAGGTGCTGTCATCTCCATTGTAAGGGTGAGTCAACTAAGGCACCAAGAGTTAAGCAGTTGACTTGCCAGGAAGTGGCAGGTTGGTCACAGAGCCTGCGCCTGAAACCACTGGGCTACACAGCATCTCGGCCCTGCTCTCAAGACTTGTATTCTCGAAGGGTCTTCCCACCGGCCTGAATTTTCAATGCTGCCAATGACTCCACCTCGGAGGATAACCTGTCCCCAACTCCTGCCCAGTCTTCCTGGCCCTGCCAAAGGCTGTTCCCCAGACTTTCTGTCACTCAAGCCCCCAGGCCAGTGTCCAGTTCTGCTGACAAAGGTCATTTCCGCAAGGAATTCTGGGGACAGTTTGTAGCTCCAATCTCTGCCCATAAATATGTTATTAAGCACTAATGGGACCCAACTGCTGATCAAACCCAGCCCCCGCCCCTGTCAGCCTCTGCCTGCAAGGACAGTTAACGGCTCTGAGACAAACCTAAAAATAAGTTGCAAGTCGATGGGGGAGGAATTACCCAGAAATGTCAGCCTGTGCAGCTATCACCCTGAGGCGGGGCTAAGAAAAGAAGGGGGCTCTACCCTGGCCGGTTTGGCTCAGTGATTAGAGCATCAATCTGTGGACTGAAGAATCGCAGGATCGATTCCTGGTCAAGGGGAAGTACCTTGGTTGCAGGTTCGATCCCTGGCCCCTGTCAAGGTCGTGCAAAAGGCAACTAATCAATGTGTTTCTCACATCGTTTGTTGTTGTTTTTTCTCTCTCTTCCTTCCTCCCACTCTATCTAAAAATCAATGGAAAAATATCCTTGGGTGAGGATTGGGGAGAAAAAGGAGGGGGCATCTGGGATCAGGGGATGGCAGGAGCCAGGCTTTCTCTCACCCCAATATCTGGTCCATTACTAAATCCATTGGTGCTACGTTCCTTTTGTTTCCAGGATCTACCCACATCCTCATCACTTTCATGACCTCCACCTGGTCCAGCCACCATGGTCTCCTCACTGTGTCCCTGCTTCTGCCCTTGCTCCTCAGATCCTGGTCCCGCCTTTGCTCAAAACCCTCCCAGGGCTCCCAAGTCACCCAGAGAAAAATCCCGTCTTTACTTACCAGGACCTGCAGGCCCTTTGTGATCCCGTCCCTCTGGCCCCTTCTCCCTCCTCACTCTGCCTCACGAATGATCTGCAGTTAAGAGAGTCAGGGAACTGCCCCGCTGATGTAGCTCAGTGGTCTGAGCATCGTCCCATGGACCGAGAGGTCCTGGTTCGATTCCCGATCAGGGCACATGCCTGAGTTGCGGGCTCCATCCCCAGTAGGGGGCGTGCAGGAGGTAGACAATCCATGTTTCTCTCTCACATCAATGTTTCCATCTCTCTCTCCCTTCCTCTCTCTCTAAACAAATCAATGAAAACATATTCAAAAGAGAGAGAGTCAGGGAACTGGGCATGTGTGCACAAGCCCACACCCCAACTATGGGTGCACACTCACAAATGCGCACACTCATATGTACACAACCACACGCCCACACCTGCGGCTCCCCCTCGCAGCCAGGCCCACCTGTGTGGCCCAGAGCTGCAGCACCAGAGCCCGCGCCTGCATCTCCTCCGACACGCCCATCTCCTCCAGGTGCAGCAGGTAACTCCCCAGCCAGTTGCTCCGGTGGGCCCGGGAGGCCAGCCTGGCTGGGGACAACAGCTTCCACAGGTGACCTTTGACTCTGCCCACAAGGTCCTTGTCCCCTGCAGAAACAGAGCCCAGAGAGTGGGAGTTACAGATCCACCCCCAGCCCAGGGCCACCCAGCCCTGACCTCCCATGAGGCCAAAGGTCTTCTGGGTGTCACCCCGTGGGGGTGGGGGCTTCCTGTGGGGAAGAGGCTCTGGGGAAGTTCTTTAAATGTTGACTTGCTGATTGTCTCTCACCCACAGCAACCGGGAGCAAGAGGCCTTGCCTGTTTTATTCACCTCTGTGTCCCCAGCAGCTGGCCCATAGTAGGTGCTCAATAAATATGTGTTACATGAATGGTGGTTCTTTACACAGCAGGAGAAGAAACACGAAACACCAAGCAGCATTCCCCAGACGCAGCACAGTTTCATTTGGAGACATCAGAAACAGACTAACTGCCATCAACAGAGGAGAGATCAGTCTGGGGTCTGAAACTCAACTACCTCCAGGGAAGGAGGCCAGGGAAGAGCTGTGGGGAACAGAGGGTCAGGGGTGGCTTCTCCTCAGCTCACCACCCAGCCCCTTGGGTAAATCTGTCCCCGGCCAGGGAGCCTGGATTTCAGAAGCTGAAAACCCAGGTGTTCGTGTGGAACCTTCTCATGTTTTTAAGGTCAGCATATAAGCAAGAAGTTTTCATCACTGTGCAGACCACACAAGCATCTCAAAAAGTCAGCGTTGGCCCACAAATCACCGGTCTGCAATCTCTATCAAACAAACAATGAAAACCCAATACAGCGAATGGGCCCACAGGGGCAGACTGTTGAGGGAACAAAGCCAGGTGCTTACTATGTAAATATTGTGTTAGTGATACAAGACAATGCTATATTTACCTATATGTGCACAAATATAAGATTTATTTTTTCCAGAATCACCCTTTGGAAGAGTGGAAGTTGCTTTGGATGGCTATGAAATTCCAAAGTTCCAGAAACTCTCTCATTGATTTTTTTGAAAATATTATGCTAAGTGAAATAAGCCAGACACAAAAAAAGAACTATTGTATGACTGCATTTGTATGAGGTAACTAGCAGTCAAATTCACAGCAGCAGAAAGGGTTACCAGGGGTTCAAGGAGAGAGAGATGGGGTTACTCCATAATGGATACAAAGCTTCTGTTTGGGATGATGACAAATTTCTGGTAATAGATAATAATATAGTTACACGATATTGTGAATGTATTTATTGTCACTGATTTGTATACTTAAAAATGGTTAAAATAGTAAATTTCATATTATGTATATTGTACCACCATTAAAGAGAAAGGTATGTGAATGTCATTTGGCAAATGAGCCAAAGATGGGGTTGTATAATAAAAATTTTTAAATGGACTAGCAAAAATAAGTTTAAAAATTAGCCCTGGACAGTTTGGCTCAGCGGTTAGAGCGTCAGCCTGCGGTCCGGAGAGACCCAGGTTCGGTTCCCGCTAAGGGCACGTACTTCGGTTGCAGTTTGTCCCCGGCCCTGGTTGGTCGTGCGGGTGGCAGCCACTCGATGTGTCCCTTCACGTCGATGTTTCTCTCTCTCTCTCCCTTCCTCTCTCTCCCTCCCACTCTATCTGTACAAAAAATGGAAAAATATCCTCGGGTGAGGATAAAAAAAAAAAAAAATTAGAGCAGTGTGCCCATCCTGGCTGGTGTGGCTGTTGGTTGGGCGTCATCCAACAGACGGGTTCAATTCCCAATTGGTGCACATGCCCGGGTTTCAGGCTCTGTCCCCATAGGGGGCTTGCAGAAGGCAACTGATCCATGTTTCACTCTCACATCGATGTGTCTGTCTCTCTCTCTCCCTCTCTTTCTTCCTCTCTCCCTAAAAAAAAAAAAAAAAAAAAAAAATCAATAAAAAATTAGAGTAGTGATTTGATCCTCAAACCAATTAATATTTGTAGAACCCCTCAGTACAGGACAGGGCACATACTACAACTTACATAAGATAGAGTTGCTGCGCCCTGGCCGGTTTGGCTCAGCGGTTAGAGCGTCGACCTGCGGTCCCGAGAGGCCCGGGTTCGGTTCCCGCTAAGGGTGCGTGCCTTGGTTGCAGTTTGTCCCCGGCCCTGGTTGGTCGTGCGGGTGGCAGCCACTCGGTGTGTCCCTTTCACATCGATGTTTCTCTCTCTCTCTCTCTCTGTTCCTGTCTCTCCCTCCCACTCAACCAGAACAAAAAAGGAAAAATGTCCTCGGGTGAGGATAAAAAAAAAAAAAGATAGAGTTGCTGCTAATATATATTGTAAGGAAAAAGTGAAGTGCCCATAACAGTGTGTTTGGTGTGCATTTATGAATAAGAACGTAGTCACATTTGCTTGCATTTGCGTAAAGGAATTCTGGAAGGATCTATGTAAAACTAATAAAACCAGCCGACTGTGGAGAGTGAGAACTGGGTGGAAGACGGTATGACAAGAAGGGAGGGGACGTTCCACCACCGTGATTTTCTATTTTCAATGTTTGAACCACATACAATATATTCAAAGTCTGGCAACCCCCCCCCCCCCCGCCAATATGAAAACTTTCAGCAAAAGACCACAATGTCACAGATGCAAAGATTCAATAAGTTCATCCCATATCTCAGACACGTGATTCTGGAGTGAAGAAGAGGGGTTCTGGAAAACTGAGTTTGGCGACTCAGTTGGGGACCCTGCTGACTGGCACGACACTGACGTCAAAGGTGGGGTCTGAATATAACCATTTCCCGGAATGCGGGTAGGAAGAAAGCAACATTTCTAAGTGGTCGGTTCATCCGGCGAGTGAGCTTAACAACAGATGTTCAACAAAATCAGTAAGGGGAAGTGTAACTTGCTCATTTCCACTCCCAATCATTTCTGTATTTGGGTTGACCAAAAGAATCTTCCCACCAGGAAAACAGGGGCTCGCTGTATATTTGGATCACAGTATAATCTGGGCTCGTGCTGTATTTCAACTCAAGAGACTGGTCTAGAACTGCACTGTGTCATAGGGTAACCATAGGCCTCACATGGCCATCGAGCCTTTAAAATGTGGCTGACGCCCACCGGGATGTGCTAGGAGTACGGTTACAGCACTGGTAACAAAATGTGAACTACCTCCACTCATTTGTATACTGATGACATGCTGAAATGCTAATTTAATTTTAGATTTACTGGGTTAAAGGAAATGTAGTATTAATATTGATTTCACCTCTTCCCTTTCCGTAAGTGTCTAACAGAAAATTTAAAGTTACTTACATGGCTGGCCCTCGAGGGACAGCACTGTTCTAGAAAGATAACACCAAATTGATAACAGTGGTTACCTTGGGAGTGACCCAAAGAGAATTTGCCTTTTCTGTGATAGTTAATTTTTGTATAAGATGCAGGGGAGCCCCGATAAGAGCCCCAGCTCTGGAGCAGAGTGCCTGACCCTGGACAAGTCACCTTCCCTCTCAGCACCTCAGTTTTGTCACCTATAAAATGAGATCGTAAGAGTACCCACCACAGGTTTACAGAGACTGAATGCGTTAACATATAACACATAAAAAGTGATACCTGCAACAGGCCTAATAAACATTAGCTATATTACTAAATAAGGCTTAATGAATGTCAGCAAATTATTAGTCCAAGGAGAATGTATTCACATACTGTTTCTATAATTAAGAAATAATGATAAATTGTGAAATAAAGAGCACACAGTTTGCAGCCAGGTTGAAATCCCAGCTCTGCCGCTTCCTAGAAGGATGATCTTAGGCAAATCGCTGTGTATCGCTGAGCCTCAGTTTCCCCATCTGTAAAATTGGGGCAATCTGGCTCATAGGATCATTAGGAGGATATAAAAAGACCTTACACAGAACATACTTAGTATTGGTAGGGGTTTGGTAAATCCCTTGCTATATTCTTGCCATTATTGTAAGATACATAGTATTATTTATAAGCCACAGTTTAATGACTCAATGCTGTCAATCAAATTTCCAGGCCCCTGTAACTGGTAATGGGGTTAGAGGCAGGAGAAGCAGTTTCGAATCCCAAACCTCCCATGCTGTGTGGAATTGGTTGAGGCCCTGTCCACCTCTGGACCTCACTCTTCCCATCTGTAAAAAGAGGGTTCCAGGCTCAAGTACCTCTCAAGTGTTCCCTTGGAAGTGCCTCTGTCCCCTGGAGACCTAGGGGCACAGAGAAACCTCCTTTGGGAGACAGGCCTTTAAAGTTTGCGTTTTCCCTTTAAAATGAATTAGGTTTTTGTATTATATTCTCTGATTCTTTAATATAAGAATGCCTTCTCCCCTAAAACAAAATTCAAATAAAATATAGTGCCCATACTCAATAATCCAGTAAAATGAATGTTCCAGAAAGAAGCAGTTTGCTTAGTTGGGGCTCTATTTAACTGTCCCCTGACCTCAATTCCCTACTGTAGAGAAGCACCAGACTCAATGGTCTAAGGGTCCCCAAAAGGGTCAGTTTTCTTTTAAAATACATTTATATTTTTTAAAGCCGAGAAGTAATACATGTACATGGTAAATATATATATATTTATATAATATATATAACATATATATTATATATAATGAAGAGAGAGAAAAAGAAACTCTACAAGTTCAAATGAGTATAGTGTAAAAGTAAGTTTCTCTCCATCCCATCTCAGCCTTGCCACAAGCAAAAATCTATACATGTTCTCACATTTTTAAAAAATGGATGTCAACTAAACCTATTGTGGTAATCATTTCACAAAATGTGAACGTCAAATAATCTAGTATACCTTAAACTCACACAGTACTTATATATAAAAATTATATCTCAATAAAATGGGGGGTGGGGAGCCCGGCTGGTGTGGCTCAGTGGTTGAGCGTGGACCCTGCACCAAGAGGTTGCCAGTTGGATTCCCGGTCAGAGCACATGCCCAGGTTGTGGGCCAAATCCCCAGTGTGGGGCATGCAGGAGGCAGCCAATCGATGTTCTCTCTCATCTATGTTTCATTTTTTTTTTTTATCCTCACCAGAGGATATTTTTCCATTTTTTGTACAGATAGAGTGGGAGGGAGAGAGAGGAAGGGAGAGAGAGAGAGAAACATCGACGTGAAGGGACACATTGAGTGGCTGCCACCCGCACGACCAACCAGGGCCGGGGACAAACTGCAACCGAAGTACGTGCCCTTAGCGGGAACCGAACCCGGGTCTCTCCGGACCGCAGGCCGACGCTCTACCCGCTGAGCCAAACCGGCCAGGGCTCATCAATGTTTCTATCTCTTTCTCCCTCTCCCTTCCTCTCTCTCTAAAAGTAATAAAGAAAAAAAATTAAAAGAAAAACTGGGGAGGGGGAGCACAGTATACCCACTGTCCTGTGTCTTTTTCGTAAATGTAGATTTCACCCTATACCAGTACATCCCTTTCTGTTTTGCAGTCCCATGGTTTCCTTTATGTGAATGAATAATTGATTTCATCTCAGCCGCTACTGGTGGACATTTAAGTTGTTTCCAGCGTTGGCTATTACAAGCAACATAGCAATGAATATCTTGGTGTGTCTTTAGACATGTGTGAGCATGTCTGTGGAATAATTCCCAGCAGTGGAAGTTCAGGATTAAAAGAATATGTATCTTATATTTTGATAGGGACAGGTTTGCCCACCAGCCTCTAGTCCTGAGCTGAGAAACCTTTCCCAATATCGCCACCTGCTGCCTTTACTTGGAAATGCAGCCTTCCTATAACCAGCCCAGGGCTGCTCCCAGAATGATGGGATTCCCCTCTGCATCTACTCAGACTCCCCAGGAGTCAGCATGGAATAAAGAACAATGGAGAAACCACTCTTTCCTGGAAAAGCAATGGGCGCTGGGATGTGTCAAGGGCTTAATGCACAGCATTTTGCAATCAGATAGATAAAGTTTACATTTTGCTGGCTCTGCCACCTACCAGCTGTGTGTCTATGACAACGGACCTCTCTGAGCCTCAATTTCCTTATCCATAAAATGGGTATAATGATACCAAAATTCCAACACTGAAGACAGGAGTCAATAAAATAAGTATTTGCCTCTAAAAAGACATTAAGAGACGTGAACAGGCAACTCACAGAGAGGAAAAGCAAGTGGCTGGTGAAATACAAAAACATGTTTCATCTCCGTCGACAGGGAGATGCCTATAAAGCCAGACACCCTTTTCACCCAACAGATTGGCAAGGATTTCAAGGCTGATAACAGCATGTTGACAAGGTTGTAAGAAAATGTAAATTAAAACAAGTTACCTGGCTCTGCCCATCAGATTGGAAAACAAGTGGGAAGACTGATAATATCTGGGGGGCTCCTTCCCTTTGGGTAAGTGTAGAAATTGCTCCATCTTTTGGAAATGATGTGGTAGCAACTAGTAAACATTTTAGTGGATATGCCCTTTGGCCTGGCAACCCCACTTCCAGGAAACTGTCATCAAGAAATAAAATCACCAGATAGTAGAAGAGATAGCAACCAGTACAATGAAATACTGTAATAGGCACACACACAAAAGGAAACAATTACACAACCCTTTGGAGGAGCATAGCTGCCTAAATACTGATATGTAAGGGCTGGAAAGTGTCTGTGTTTTTTATGTTAATTTTATATCCTTCTACTTTTCTGGATCCTTTTTTTTTTTTTGCTTGAGTTAGTTTTATCGTGGATTTTCTGAGGTTTTCCAGATATCGTGTCAAGTCATTTACAAATAGGAATAATTTTAATTCTTACATTGGTAATTGACTTCTCTCATCTAATTGCATTGGCTAAAACCTAGAAGATGTTTGTACTGACAGAGAAAATGTATCTATATTGTTAGGTTAAAAAAAGAATTTTAAATAATAGACATAACCCCTTCTTGTAAATACACACACACACTCTAGATATGTATATCTGTCTCTATTTGCAAAATAGAATATTTCTACAAAATACCGCAAAGGAATAAATCATCATGTTAACAATTTCCATAGAAAGCTGGGCTTGGAAGAGTAAATATTATTACTTTTCACTGTTAATATCTATGAATTGTTGACTACAGAATTTCTTTCTTCTTTCTTTTCTTTCTTTCTTTCTTTTTTCTTTCTTTCTTTTCTTTCTTGTTCATATTCTTTCTTTCCTTTCTTCTTATCTCTTTCTTTCTTCTTTCTTTCATTTTTTTTTGGTACGTGCCCATAGCGGGAACCGAACCTGGGACTCTCTGGTCCATAGGTCGACGCTCCAACCCCTGAGCCAAACCAGCCAGGGCTATGTTTCTTAATTTAAACAATCTAATGTGTTAAAGTTTGGTTTCTAACAATATATAAATAAAGAAAATGAAGTGATGAGCTGTTATGAGCACTGAATGAGACAATACTTAATTAACCTGGTATCTGGCACATAGAAAGTGCTAAAAAAGGAAAAGGTTTTTTTTCTTATTACCTCAGCCAATCCTGACAGCCTTTCCCCCGTTTTACAGGTGAGACACTGTACCCTGAGCCTGGATGCCCCCCCTGGTCCCCAGTCTGCCCCGGGCCCACCAGTCCCTCCGGCCCCCACCCAGGCCCGTGCTTACCCACGGACAGGGAGCCGCGTGCCAGTTTGGGGAGCAGCAGATCGAGCTGGCGGAAGGTGTGGAAGACGTCGGCGGAGTGGACGCGGTCCTGAGCCTGGCTCTGATGGGTACGGGGCAGGGCCTCGACTCCGTAAAGAGTCAGGTAGCCGGCTCTGGGGCAGAAACAGCCGATCAGGGCTCCTCCTCGGTCATTCCCAGCCAAACCCTCCCATGGCAGCCTACCAGCTCTTTATTCACACACCCAATGAGCACCTACTTTTCCTACTAACACGCCCCGACTGTTCCGGGCCGGGAAGTCACTGTGAACAAAACACAAGGTCCTCGGGGCCTCTGGGAGCGGACACTCTAGTGCAGCAGACAGACAACAGACAAGAGAAATGAGTCAACAAGTAATAAGTCAGCTGGAGCTCAGAGGTATATGGGGTGAGGGGAGGGGCTCACCATGAAGCCGAAACCTGAAGGATGAGGATGAGCCAACCAGGAAAGCAGAGAGGAAGAGGGTTGGAGGCAGAGGGGACAGTGGGTACCAGTATCCCAGGGCAGGAAGGAGATGGGCGCATTGAGGAGCAGCAAGGAGGCTGGTGAGGCCGGAGCAGAGAGAGTGCGGGGGACAGTGGGGAGAGACGGGGTCATGGACCAGGAGATCCTGCCCCTGCAGAGGGAGGCAGGGTCTGAGCTGAGACCTGCAGGGTGAGCAGCGGGGAGGAGAGGGGTCAAGGGTTCTGGCAGAGGGCACAGCCTGGGTGAAGCCTAGAGCCAAGGGAGCAACTCCGCCTAGTCAGCTTCCAGGTATCACTGGTCCAGGTCCTGGAGCTGGAGTGTGAGGGGACGGGGCAGAAGCGCACACACACATGCTCACACACGCGCACACACGCCCGCCTGCAGGAACACTTCCAGGACATGTTTTCTCCGCCAGTTACTTTCAAATGCTTCAGGAGCCCCAGGTCCACCAGCCTCAGTCCTGGGGAAAAGACCACAGGTTTTCACTTTGTACCTGTGGTGGGAGGGGCTGGCTGGGGCCTAAGCGGAGAGACACCACCAAAGCCCCTCTACATTGAGATCCTTCTAGTCCCTGGATCTCCCAGGAGAGGGATTTTCCTGAGAAGAACAGGGTGGATGCAAGAACGAGGGAGGCGGGGGGCCGAGGCAGGCCCGTCTAGTCCAGACTCTGTCCCTTACCCACACAGTGCAGGCACAGAGCATACATGTTTGATGGGTGGATGGATGGACGGACGGACGGGCGGACGGATGGATGGATGGATGGATGGACCGATGGATGGATGGATGGATGGATGGATGGATGGATGGAAGGGGGATGGGTGGATGGATGGTAGACAGCCGAACAGACAAGAGGGTGAGTGGATGAATGGTGAATTAGAACGTAACGCTGAGAACACTGATCTTGGGAGAAAATTACAGGGTCATCAGGCTACAGTCCACCTGTCCCCTGCATCCTGCTCACCTCCCCCCTCCCCCAGCCTCGGCTTGCATGCCGGCAGAGATGGAGAGCTCACAATCTGTCCGTCCCACTGGACGAAGAGGAAACCACCCTTCCTTCAGGACGGCTGAGACAAGCTCCTCCCCGAGTCTAACCCACTGACCTACTTGTGCCTCCGCATCAGCTCAGGAGGACTCTCTCCCCCTTCTCCCCAAACATGTGAGGCCCTGGCCTGTTTCCCATGGCAGATGTGGTAAAGGGCAGCCCACATAGTGGCTTCAGTCCACAAATGTGTTTTGCTTGGTCAACAGAGTTTTCCTAAAAGCAAACTAAGTGTATGTTTAAACATTTGGGGAATTTCACACACAGTCTGGATTTCCCCCTCATCTCATCTCGAAAAAGGGCAGAATCTGGCCCCCGAGCCGCAGTCAGGCCTGGAAGCCCCGAGTCAGCCTCCCCTTCAGACAGGAGAGAGCTGGCAGGGTCAGGCGGTGCTCACCAGGCACCACGGGCCCAGTGACACTGCCGTGAAACACCTGTCGCCGTTTGTCATCCCACTTGTACTGGCTTTTTTCTTAAAGCAGAGAACATTTGCCCTGTACATAATTTCTACCAAAATAGGCAACAGAAAATAAACCAAACAAAAACACCAAGAAGGCCACAAAGTTTCACACCATGGAAGTCAGGGCCCTTCTGAAGGCACCTCCACATTAAAAGGACACATCATCTGCTGAAGACAGACAATAATTACAAGTGTGAATACACACATAACCTACAGGTGGCGCCAGGAGCTATAGAGAAAAAGCTGGAATGAGCTAGGGAATGAGAGAGGGCCAGCATATTAAACGGGATGCCAGAAAGGCCTCTCTGAAGGAGGTGACATGTGAGATAAGGCTTGAATGAAGTGAGGCGGGAGCCATGCAGACATGTAAGACACAGCATTCTCAGGCACGGGAACAGAAACTGCCAAGGTCTCGAGGTCAGAGTATGCCTGGCCTGTTCCAGGGGCAGCAGGGTGGCTGGTGAGATGACAGAGGAGAGAGCAATGGGGCCACCAGGCGCGGATGAGAGCAGAAGAGGTCGGGGACATCACGCAGGATCCTATAGGCCAGAACTTTAGATATGACTCTGAGTGAGGAAGGGCCCACATAGGAAGGTTTAAGTGGTGGCATCTCAAGGTTGGGGGCCATGTGAACCGTCATCCAACTCGCCCATCCCTTTCTATTTCAGGGGCTCCAGATGACAGTGAAAAGGTCCTAGGCTGCCAGGCAAAGAGGCAGGAGCTCCAGCCCCAGCCTCAGGTCCTATGGACACAGGGATCCACTTACATCTGACCCCCGTGCTATACCTGCTGTTTCCATGAGCCTAAACAAACCCAGCTGCCACCATGCCATCCCCACCTCCCCCGGTGCCACAGCTTCCTCTCTCACGTCTTTGCCCACACAGGGAGACAGGGCGGCAGGAGCCAGGGGCCCTGGGAGTTGCCTTGCTGTGAGCTTGCTGGGTGGTTTAGCGGCCCCTTTCTGGACCTCAGTTTGCTCCACCACGACAGGGTGGGCCAACGCAGCAGCACTCAGACCAGTCACAGCCCTTGATGGTGTCTGCACCACTCCAGGGGAAAATGAGAAAAATGTGGACCTCTTACCCATCAAGGGTCACACTTGAGAGTGTAGGGTCTGCAGCCAGCCCTGCCAGGACCCCAACTATGAAATGGCTCTGGGCAAATCGGACTCCAGCTCTCCAGGCCTCAGTTTCCTTATCTGTCAAATGGGGTTTGTAAAGTACCAGCCTCATAGAGCTGCTGCTGATTGAAGGTGTTAACACAGATTGAGCCTGCTTATATGCACACACGTGTCACAAATGTGCTGTGTGCTCATATATGTCAGCGAATGCCTGTCCTTTATGCTGAAACTGTGTCCCTCTCATTTTTTAGAGCTGAAATGTCCCTTCTTTAATGAAAGCCAGTCAATGGCACCACCAAAAATCAATGAACTATCCTTACCAGAGTTCTTTCCCTCGCTGCCTATGCCTCCACCACCGCCCCACTCAAATCCTTCAGCAGGTCCCATCAACTCCATGCCCCAAAGTCTCACCGTGTCCCTGTCATCTCACTCGTCCAGGCCACGTGATCGCTCGCCTGGGCAACCACAGCTACAGGCCCTCTAACAGGTCCTCCTGCGGCTGTCTCGCTGCCACACACCTGGCCTGTGGCCAGCTCTCCACCCAGCAGCCGAGGAGCGCTTTCAACACTGTAAGTCTAACCACGTCAAGCCCCTGCGGAAGCCCCCGATGTCACTCATCTTACGCAGAATAAATTCCAGAGCCAACAGGACCCTCTTGTTTTGGCCTGTGTCTCCTTTACGACCCGCAGGCTGAGCCAGGTAAATACCTGGGTTCCCGGAGGCAAAAGGTCATCTTGCCATCTTTGCTTTGAGTGTCCTCATGGTTCCCACTGCTAAGGGCTGACCCAGGTCTGCAGTAATGGGCTCCCCTCCGGAGAGTGGGGCTGCCCGGGCTCACCTGAGCAGAAAGTTGTAGGAGAAATCGAGGAGACCCATCTCGTGCCAGCCACTGCCTGCGTCTGTGGTGTCGCCCAGCAGGACAGTGCGGAGGTTGGTGTACATGGCTTCCGTGAGCGCCTGCAGGTCTCTGTGGAGGAGAGTCCTGGGGCAGAGAGAGAAGAAGTGAGTGCTGCTTCATAAGGGTCACATCCGCACACAGGTGCCTCCCTCCCCCAACCTCAGGGCCGCAGGGCTCTGGTTCCTTGTTGGCAATGAGCGTCTTAGGAGGATTGGCTTAAACAAGGTGATATTATTGCTATCACCATCAACAATGATGACCAATACTATTCACTGTGCTAAGCACCATGATCTCATTTCATCTTTTGACAACTCTAGGAATAACAGTTACTATCATGACACCCATTTTACAGACAGAGAAGCTCAGGGACATAAAAGGAAGTGACTTGCCCAAGGTCACCCCACCAGTAAGTAATACAACTGGGATTAAAACCTTGATCCAGAGTCTAAACTCTTAACCACGATAGTCTATCCCTCCTCGGGGCACACAAGCTTGGATAAGGACCCCTTTAGTCTGAGCAAACCCCTAGGTTCTTGGATAACTCAAGAGTAGAACACTTTCAGAGGGGTCCCATGAATTTCCAGGTAATTAAAGCTTTTGGATGTTCAAGTCGGAACATTATTAGATTAACAGTAGACAAGATCCATATGAGATCATGTGTGTAAAGGGCTTAAGACAGCTCCTGGCACATTGTAAGTACTCAAGAAATGGGAGCTTGTGATTGACCTTGACTTTGACCTTGTTCCCCCCAATCCTACTCCAGGCACTAGTTCTCAACAGAGAAAGTAGCCTTTAGCAGATGTGATAACCATGCCCAGAAAACATAATGCCAACTTGTGAGAAATTTCCCAAAACTCTGGGGGTCAGACACTGGAGGAAACGGGTCCCCCCCTGGGTGGTGAGGTAGAAGGCAGTGAACTGTGGGCTCTTGTTGCTAATGGGCCTTCATGATCCCCTTGGAATGGCAGGATCCAGGACCCTCAGGCCCAGAACACTCCTAGTAGCTGTCCCACAAGGCCAAGGTCAGATTGGGCATTGCGTCTCATCAATGTTCGCCTCATAATGCTGGCCTTTCCTCAGCTGTAGCAGTCCTGCAAAACCTGGCCTTCTAGCCACAGACCACTAACTACCATCAGACTGCACATCTCTGCAGGGTAGATGCAGAGTCTCATCTCCTCAGTGTCTTGGGTGGAGGAGAATGATGGGCTTGGGTTCAAATCCCAGTTCCGGCACCTTATTAGTGGTTGACTTTGAGCAAGTCACTTCACCTCTCTGAGCTCCCGTGTCCTCACTTGTAATACGAGAATAACAACGCCTACCTCTTGAGGCTATTGCACAAATATGAAAGTGTGCCTATCAAACACCTGGCATATGGTAGGTGTCCTCAGATGGCGGTGGCATCATTCTGCAGCCCCTGCATCTAGGGTGGTGCGCAGTGTTTAGCGGGTCCTCGGATGTTTGCTGAATGAATACAGGGTGAATGTGCTCACCTGTCCTCTTGTTGATGTAAGCATTCCTTACATTGCAGGACCTGCACCACTCCCCAGCTGTGTGACCCAGGGCAAGTCACTTCTCTGAGCCCGAGGCCTCATCTATAAAACGGGGCTATAAGTTACTTACCCTCCAGCATTGTTGTAAAGATAATGAGATCAAGCATGATGCCTGGCACAGAATATGGACTCAAAAATATTAACCGTCCCACCCACCTCCCTTCACTTTGCGATACGGAAAACAGAGGCTCAGAGGGGGGGGTGACTTGTCCAAAGTCACAAGGCTAAGAAGGGGTGGAGCTGTGGTTTGGATCTAGGTCTGCCTGACCCAAAGCCTGATCTCCTCCTACTCAAATCAAAGCTGCCTCCTAAGAATTAATGAGTTCTTCCTCAGCCCAATTATTTTGGGTTGTTTTTTCTCTTGTTTTTGTTTGTTTCTTTGAAACAAAATGTCTTTACTGGACACCTATTGTGGAGACGAGCACAACTCGAACCCGCAGGGAGAAGCAGATCAGCCAGCCGGCCCACCCGCAGGTACTGTTGGCCACTCACGGTTTCATCTTGGCCTTCTCATCACTGGGGTTGTAATGTGGGAGCTGCACATCGAAAATCCGCTCCATGAGGAAGACGGCATAGGCGTGGAAATCCAGCTTCGTGCGAGGCTCCCACACTGCCGAGTCGTAGGAGTGTGGGTCCAGGAGGACAGTGACGTACCTGCCCCCCACCAGCACCTGGGAAGTTGGCAGGTTAGAGTGAGGAGTACTGCTGTGAACAACAGCAGCTCTCAGTGGCCAAGGGCTCACCCTGTGCCAAGCACTGGCCCCATCAGGTCCTTAACGGACGACAGTCTTTCATCTACCCCTCAGACCGCCCTGTGAGGTTGGGACCATCACTCACCGATTTACAGCGGAAAAGTGAGGCTTAGAGAAGGCACGGAACGTGCCCGAGATCACACAGCCGAGAAGCGGCAGAGTTCTTGAGCACCTGCCATGGTTATCTTGGTCACTGTCATATGTCCAGCAGCCAGGAGGGAGTCTGCCCACAGAAGGCAGCAGATGGATGTGTGTGCATCACAGGTGAATGGGTGGATGGGGGCATGGGTGCATGGGTGAATGGACAAACGAACAGAAGAATGTTGGTGGATAAATGCTAGTAGATAAATTATAAATGGGTGGATGGATAGATGGGTGGATAAATGAATGACAGGAAGGAAGAAAAAATGGATGCTGGTGGGTCAATGCTGGTGGATGTGCAAGCAGGACCCACTTCTTTGGGAGGCTGAGCTCTGTACATAAACTCTGCCCCAGAAGAGAAGGAAACAGCCCTGGAGAGCAGTGTAATCCTGCAGTCAACAAAGGTAAGGGCACTTCCCCTCAAATGTCTGTGCAGGGGTCACACAATTCTAACTGCCCTGGCCCTGTTTTCAAAGTATGGTCTGTGAGTCACATTAATGAAACTCTCTTATAAGATACAGGCCAATGTCCAGGAAAAAATGCTACTGGATGGATTGTTAGATGAGGGATAAGTGGTGGGATATGCCACTGAATGCATGTTGGGCGGAAGGATGGATGGATAGGCAGCTAGGGGCTGGTTGGAAACTAAATGTATGGGTGAATGTTGGGTACATGGATGGCAGGATGCTAAGTGGATATTGATAAACAGATTGAAGGATGACTGTTGGATGAATAGAAAAAGTTGGAAGAATACATGGAAGACGGATGGATGGGTGGTGGTTATTTGGATGTTGAAGGGATGGAAAGATGGAGATATAAATAAATCTATATGGAATGGATAGATAACAGAATGTTGGGTGAATAGTGGCAGATGGATGGAAACACAGGTAGACAAGTAGAAGAATGGAAGTTGGTGGAAATTGAACATACAAATGAAAGTTGGATAGATATTAGGTATGTGAGTGGGAGAGTGCTGGATAAATCTGGGGAGATGTAGAGAGGGATAGATGATGGATACATGGAGGATGGACAAATGCTGGAGAGGTGTATGGAAAGATGGATGGATGAGTGGATAGATGGAGGTGTAATGGACATGGAACATATAAATAACTGTGGGGTGGCTACGAGGATGGAAGGGTGCTGCTTAGATATTGGGTAGATAGGCAGACGAATAGATGTTGTATGGATGGGTGGATGTTGGACAGATGAAAGTTGAATGAATGGATAGAAGTGAGTTATATGGATGTACATGTAAGGAACAGACATGGAATGACTGCATAGCTCAATGTTGGGAAGACGCTAGAGGGATAACGAAGGGAAGAGTGTTAGATAATCATTGGATGTACAGTTGGTGAGACATGTGAATAGAAAGTTGGTGGGACCACTGGAAGGATGTTGAATGAGTGGGTTAGTGCAAGGATGGGTGTTGGAGGGATCAGTAAATATCTGGTAGGACAGGCCCAGGTGCGCATCCCTTCCCTCCCAAGAGGCACAGGAGGTACTTACAGTAAAGATATCACCGTGCTTCTCCTTCATCCTGGTGAGGAAGCTGGCAGCATCTTTTCCAAACTCCAAGGCATAGCCCAACCAGGGGATACTGCCCAGATCCAGGGGAGGCTCACCAGGTCGCCTGTAGAAACCACAGTGCTTATCACCATTTGATAAAACAGAGACGAGAATAAAGTATGGAGGACATGGGGTGTGGTTTTAAATAGAGAGGGTAGGGCAGGCTTCCCTGAGGAGAACCTTGACCAAAGTCCTGAAAGTGGTGAGAGAGGAAGCCATGTAGATATCTGGAAGAAGAGCCTTCAGATAGAAAGAACCAGTGCAAAGGCCCTGAGGTGGGATCATGACTGGTGGGTTCAAATAACAGTATAGAGGCCAAGGTGGCTGGATTGGAGGGAGCAAGGAGAAGTAGCAGATGTGGAGGCCAGAGCGGTAACAAGGCCCAGACCATGCAGGTCCTTGTAGTCAGCTGTGAGGACTTAGCTTTGTCTCAGTTAGGTGGGACCCATGAGAGTTTGGAAAAAAATAGGGACAAGATTTGGCTTAGTTTTTTTCTTAATAGGATCCTTTTGGTTATAAGTAGAGAATGGACCATAGGGGCTGAGAACAGAAGTTGATGGAGATGGTCATCTCTCTAAGGGTAAAAGTGAACTTTCCAGACCGCAGTAGATAAAGATACAGAGTTGTCTGTTTCAGCCAGCAGAGACCAGGGTTTTGGTCCTCTCACATTCCTGCCACACCCACAGAGAAAGGATGAGACTGGAGAACATGGCTGGAAGGGAGAAGGCAGTAGAAGGATGGGCCTCATCACTGACCCCTGACTGCCCCTCACTGGCTCAGAATCTGAGTTAGCTCAGGTGGCTAGAGGCCAGGCCTGTGGTCAGGCCCGTGGCCAGAGGGAATGTCCCAGGGGTACATGCTAGCTCAGCCTGGGGGTGGGAAGGCTGGGTGTGTAATAGTCAAGGTTGAATCATCTGTAAGAGCAGAACAACTCCTCTGATAATTTAATAACAGCTACAGCTCACTATGATAGACAGAATTCCATGATGACCTATATATACCCTTGTATAATTCCCTCCTACTGAGTGGGGGATAGATGGTACAGTTGACCTTAAGAAAGAACAATTCTCCTAGTGGGCCTGACCTAATCAGGTGGACACGGGGCTTACAAGAGACAGGGCTCTTCCTGGCAAGAGACTCAACGCATAAGAGAGACCTGACATCAGGGAGAGTTTCTGTTGCTGGCTTTGAAGATGGAAGAGGCCACATGGCAAGGAATGCAGGTGGCCTCTAGGAGTCTCAGTAGACCTTGTCTGACAGCAAGCAAGGAAATGGGGACCTCAGTCCCACAACCGCAAGGAACTGAATTCAGCCAGATTCTTCCCTGGAGGTTCCCAACAGGAAGGCAGCCTCAACTACACCTTGATTTCAGCCTTATTAGCTCTGAGCAGAGAACCCAGCTACACAATGATTGACTTGCCAGACTGTGAGCTAATCAGTGGTGCTGCTTTAAGCTGCTAAGTGTGTGATAACTTGTTACACAGCAAAAGATAAAAGCTAAACCATTAAAACTTATATTGCATTCCACTGGGCCCTGCCCTTGGCCAAGCGCTCAGTGAGTATGAAGTGGTGTGTGGACACTCATCTTGTCCACCACCCTCCGAGGGAGGGACTGTTAGCTAAGGAGAGGTGTGTCATTATCACTAAATGAGCCTCACAATATTGTATAGCTGGTGCTCACAGTGGACCAAGGGGGTCCCGAAACCCAGTCTTATAAGGATCAGAACCCCAGGGATGCAGAAAGCTCCCTGTCTGCTGAATGAGTTAGTGAATCATCCCACCCTCTTCTTCTCACTGTGGATTCATTCATCCCCTCATCAAACAGTAACTATGAAGCAGATACCGTTTGGGGTGCTGGAGACACAGTGGTGAACAGGACAGACAAGATCCCTGACTTCATTGGCTATACATACTAACAAGGAGAGACAGACAAAAAGCAAAATTGTTTCAGAGAGTGAGACGTGTGATAAAGAAGATGTAACTCAACAATGGAAAGAAAAATAGCCCAACTTAAAAATGCATGGGGGATTTGAATGGACAGTTCTCCAAAGAAGAGACACAAATGGTCAATAAACACATGAAAAGACGCTCAGCATCATTAATCATTAGGGGAATGTGAATCGAATCCACAATGCAGTACCACTTCACACCCACTAACAAGTTTTTATCTAACAACAGCAAAAAAAAAGGCGGGGGGTGGGGCATGTTGGTGGAGACATGCTGGCAAGGACGCGGAGAAACTGAAATATGCATATATTTCTGGCGGGATTGTAAAATGGTGCAACTGCTTTGGAAATGAGCCTGGCCGTCCCTTGAAAGGTTAAACAAAGTTACTGTGACCCAGCAATATACCCCCTAAGAATTGAAAACATATGTTCATACATAAACTTGTACATTATTGTTCAGAGCAGGATGGTTCAGAACAGCCAAAAAGTGGAGCCAACCCAAATGTCCACTGACTGATGAATGGGTAAACAAAGTGTGGTCTACTCATGCCTGGGAACATTATTCAGCCATAAAAAGGGTGAAGCACTAAATCATGCCATAATGTGGAAGAGTCTCAGGGCCGCTGTGCTACGTGAAAGAAGCCAGACACAAAAGGCCACACACTGTGTGATTCTATTTCTGTGGACTGTCCAGAAAAGGCAAATCAGTAGAGATAGAAAGTAGATTAGTGGTTGCCCAGGGCTGGGGGGTGGGGGGTGGTAATGCAGTGATGGGCACAGCGTTTCTTATTGGAATGATGAAAATATTCTGGAGTGACAGTGATGATAGTTGCGCAATCCTGTGAATACACTAAAAACTACTGAATTATGTATTTTATTTTATCATTTTATTTTTTAATTATATATTTTTAATCCTCAACCAAGGATATTTTTCCATTGATTTTCAGATAGACTGGGGGAGAGAGAGAGAGAGAGAAACATCACTGTGACAGGAGAGAGACATCAACTAGTTGCCTCCCGCATGACCCCAACTGGGACCAGGGATCAAACCTGCAACTGAGGCACGTGTCCTTGACCAGGATCAAACCCACAACTCTTTGGTCCACAGTCCAATGCTCTAACGGCTGAGCCAAACTGACTAGAGCTAAATTGTATATTTTAAAAGTGTGAATTTTATAATACATGCATTAGATCTCATTAAAGGAAAAAAAGAAGGGTGATATGAGATAGTGAGGGGTCTAGTTTAGACATGGTGGTAGGAAGGGCCTCTCCAAGGAGGTACCATGTGAGCCAAGACCCAAGGATAAGAAGGAAGTACAATGGAGGAGAGGAGAGAAAAGCATTACAGGCAGAAGGAAGAGCAAGTGCAAAGGCTCTGGGGTGGGAACGCACTTGGTGAGGTTTTCACCAGGGCAGGAGCCAGTGTGGCTGGAGTGGAGAATGTGGAGGTGAGAGGAAGGAGACGATGCTGGAGATGACTGTGGACCATGAGGGCCTGAAAGCCAAGGAGAGCGCGTGGCTTGTATGCCAAGTGCGATGGGGATCCTCTGGAAGGTTTGAAGTGGGAGTTGAGAAGTGATGTGGTTATGCTTTTAAAAGGTTGCAACAGAGAGAAAGGCAGCAGGGAGATGTGTCAGGAGACTATTGTGATCACCCAGGAGAGCAATAATAGAAGTGTAGGCCCCAGGCCCCAGTGAGCCAGTCCGAGCGTCCAACTCCCCCACTTCCAGACGTCCGGGGAGTACCAACTTCTCTTCATCCTTCTTCCCCTCCCTCTCCACCTTCCTCCACCATGGCTCCTGCCCCCTCAGTCTGGCCATCCTACAATATAACCCAAAGGGTGGGACAGATGGTGAATGGCGAGAATGGTCAGATTTGAGAGCCAGAGCTTGGGAAATATGGGAGCAGAACCAGAGGTGGGGTTTCAGGATGCTGGGAAGCGCCTTCCCCAGCCACATCCTCCTCTCTCCCCGGCCCTCACTCTGCCTGAGCCCATGATTGAGGACACTTGCAAAGTCATAGGTCCAGAATTCTAAGGGGCTACCAGGGAGGTAACAGGTACCTCCTTTTCGTAAGACCCTGGGTCAAGGCCACTTCTCCAGAAGGCTCCATTTAAAGGTAAGATGTCGTACTGGCAGAGCCTGGGACTGGAGTAACCCGTCAGCCCAGGGCGCACCAGCCCAGAGACCCAGGACACAGGAGCAGTGTTTTCTGCACGAGAAGCGGAGGGCGCGGTGGTGATGCGCTCGACTCCAGCACCACGCTTCCTGGCTTCACATCTCAGCCACGCTCTTGCAGGCTGTGTGACTTTGCTTCGCCATACCTCAGTTTCCTCATCTGGAAAATGGGAGTGACAACATACTGACCACATCAGGCTGTGATTACAGAAAGAACAGTGAGTGTCTGTCTGGCACCTCGTGGCCAGGGGGCACCTGAGTGGACCTGAGAAGCAGGACCAATTAGTCACCCGGGTGCCATTTATTGAGTAACGACGATATGTCGGGTACTATGCACATTCCACCTGTTTCCTTGCTGGTAATAAAGGCTAATACTTACCGAGCCCGGGCTGTGTCACCCTCTGAGGAAGGAAAGATTCAAGCCCATTTCACAGCAGATGGAACTGAGGCAGAGGGGCTGAGTCACTGCAGAGGATCTGATTCTATCCAGGCAGGTCTGGTTGCAGAGATGCTATCCTGGCCTCAAGTCACCCCAAGTGGACATTTGCATCCTCACTTTACAGATGAGGAAACTAAGTCAAGAGTGGTTTCAGTGACCTGCCCAAATGCAGGAGCTGAGGGTCCCACCACCCCAAGACCTCTTTGGGGACGCGGGTGGGGCCGGGGCTTCCTTTCCTGCCCTTTATCCCAGCTGCTGCCTGAGCTCCCAGCAAGCCAGGTGTTGTTTCTGGCAGCTTTTATCTTCCCCAGAAAAGCCCGAAGGAGCTGCAGACAAAGGCAGGAAGGTGGGGGCCCAGGCATCTGACCCTGCTGCCGCCGGCCGTGGGCTCCTCCAGCCCAGGGCCCTCAATCTAACTCACATTCCAGTGTGACTCAGCCTGGCCAGGAGGGTGAAGGAGGCTCTATTTTGGGGTCTGCGGTATCTAGCCTCTCCCTGGGAC